CGCAAAGGGTTAAGAATGCAGCAATGAGCGCTTGGTATGCTATCGATACACGATGTGCCAGCAAAGAGTGCAACGTCGGAGGCATACGTTGTTCAGATAAGGACGGTCTTAACACCAAGTGCAGTGGACGATACAAATACAGTGTCTCTAGAAACAATACAGGTTGTTTAAACGATAACGGCTGTCTAACACACTATGATCTTTGGATGAATGCGATGAGCAATGATCTCGATTTTTCGTCTGTTTCTTCAGTTTCGGTATGCAGGGATCAGCACAAAGGAGTGTATCCTAAAAAAAAACAAACATGAGATCACTGTATTTGTACCGTCGATTATAATTTTCCACGAGTGTCCTTGCGGAGAAATGCTCGCAACGATCATTGAAGGTTACAACAGACGGGTTTGCATGGTACGGGACCTTCGCCCTTCTGGCCGTAGAACGTTCGTGACTTGAAAACTTTCGCATCGATCCCCAGAAACGGGGTCTTTCCCGTGTAACAGCTCTCGTATACCTCGAAAGCTTCGTCGATGGGTACGTTGTTGCTCTTCTCCCCCTGGAGGATCCTCTCCGTATTCTTCGTTTGCTCGGAACTATTTGGCACTGGCTTCAATGCAGACGGATCTACGTTTACCTTGCAGCTCGTCTCTTCCTCCACGCTGGTAACACTGTTGCGCGCCAATCTATAGTATTTCTGTACGTAATTCTCCACGTAATTTTCCACGCAATTTTCCACGCTGGCTTCTTTGGTCTCGATGGTGTCCTCTTCGACAGCTTCGCCTTCGCACAACACACCCCGACATTGGAGCATCCTCTTCGGGGTTATCACAGGTTCGATCGTTTCAGCTTCCCAGCACTCCAACACATCAGGCTCCTCTATACTGCACAAGGAATTCGTCCTATCGTTCTCATCCTCGCTGCTCCTCGTGCTCTCCTTGGCGATCTCTCTATCCTTGGGGACCGTTTTGTTAGTGGAAGCATCGTTCCTGGAAGTCGTCAACAACTTCCCCTCTCTCGACACAACGATCTCCCCTTTCTCGTAGGTCTTCACGTTCGTGTCTTCGACAATGCCCTCGTCGTTTTCGTCGTCTACATTCTCCAAATGTCGCGTCTTCGCGTCGATGTTAGAGATATCCTTAGCGGATCTGCTTTGTCTTTTCGCTCGCCTTGGATTGGCTCTCTTCGAGTCCATCGTTCGAGAGCTCGAAGCGATGGTGTCCTTTTCGGTGGACTCGCAAACCTCGCCGACATCCTGACAGGCAGGATTCTCCCTTCTCGAGGAAACCTCCGACGAGGACACGGTTTCGTTCTTTGGCGTTCTGCTGTTGGTCTCTTCTACGTCGTTTCCATTGCTCTCTTTGGTAGTTTCCTTGGCATTTTTGCTGATCGCGGAAGGATCATCCCTGGAAGTCGTCAACAACTTCTCTTCCTTCTCGAACGTCTTTCCGTTTTCTTCGATATCCTCATCGATACCCTCGTCGTCCACGTCCTCTATGCATCGTATCTTCGCGTCGATGTCGGTGGGATCCTTAACGGATCTGCCCTGTCTTTTCGTTCGCCTTGCATTGACTCTCTTCGAGTCCATCATCCGAGAGCTTAAAGCAACCCTCATACCCGCAACGCTATCCTTCTCGGCAAATTCGCAAACATCACCAACGTCCTGCTGTCTGGCAGGGTTCTTCCTCCTCGAGGGAACTTCCTGCTGGCCGCAGGAATCCGACGAGGACACGGCTTCGTTCTCCGGCTTGCCCTCGACGTGTCTGACCCGTCTTTGTTCACCTGACCGTCGTTTTCCATCCCTCTTTTTCCTCGAACCGCCGTTCCCCTTCTTCTCCTGGCCCCTGGCGTTGTTGATCCTTGCGAATTCCCCGCAGCCAGACAATGCCACATTGTCCGCGCCGCTATTAGCAGATAGTGCAGGCATGGGGTTGCCTTGCAAGTTTTTTGGCGGCTCTTCGTCCACCTCGTCCTCACTCTCGCTACCGGACGCGTTCGTGATGAACACGTCGGGCGAGTTCGCTCTACGCAGCCACTCCGTCACCGCTTCCGTAATGGGATAGTCCGACAGCCGCGTCTGACTCTCGAAACCCGAGTCCTCGTTCGATATCTCCACCGGGTCGCCCTTGTTGAGGTGATTGCAAACATTGTTCGACATCTCGGTCTTCTCGCAAGAGTTCACCGTCGACTCCGTCTTCGGGGACGAATCGTTCGACAGACTAACACCGTTCAGACTCAGATCGTTCGTGACTTTATCTTTCGCAAGGATTTTCTCGTTCACCAGAACGTTCTCCAGATCCGCGAAGCCGTCCAGATCGGGCCCAGGCGTCGGTTCCCTAACGAATTTCGTGCCCTTCGCGTTGTACTTCCTCTTCGGCAATTTAGCATTCGTTAAGGATTCGTGGTTCTCCGTGTTCTCCGCAGTCTTGGGCGTTCTCTCATCGTTGCACGGAGACAATGGTTCCTCCTGGGTCTCCTCGTTGCTGGAGTTCATCAGTTTTCCGTTCACCAGGGTCTCCTCGACCCCGTTCATCGGTTCTTCCGTCGATCGTTCGCATGGTTCGTTGGTACTCGCTTTATCATTCATTTCGCTGCTCGGAGATTCGACGCTGGCTAGCTCGTTCGTCGGACAGGTATCGTCTTTCCCTGTTAGACAAAGCGTCGGGCCGTTCGTTTCCGTCTCAAGATCGCCGTCCTCCGACGTTTGTTGACTCTTTTCCGATCCCGCTACTTGGCCGGAATTGCTATCCGTCAGTTGCTCGTCCTCCTGCTTCTGGTCGTCGGAGACGACGCCGTTGCATGCTTTATAGTTCTTGTCGACGGACGTCGCGTCCGACGACAACGTGCTCGATTGGTTCGCGCTCGAGCCCTCCTCAAAGGTCGACAAGTTGGCGGAAGTTGGAATAGCGGACAGCGAGGCATCGAGCTCAATCGGGCGCAGCTGGAACTCCTGGCATTCAGGGTTCAGTGGCCGATTGGTGATCGTCGTCGTCGTCGAAGTCGAACACTCTGTCCACGACAGTCGGGAAGACGGTAAACCGGTATCACATTCGGAGCTGTACTCTCCCTCCTCCTCGTCCTCCGTGTTACCCTGAATTTCAAACAGATTCTTTAGGTTCTTTTACAATCTATTCTCGGATAAAACATAAGGCTTCCGTATTTACCACAGCAAGTCTCCTTGGCTTTCTTCTCTTTTTTTTCTTTCTTCGCTTGGCACAGGCCGCCGACATAGCCGCCACGTCTGTAGTTCTGATCATGGGTCCACCCTGTATGGTAACACCTTGGACAGCAGAAATACCATGGATTATTTCTTTCTGCGAGCGCAGAGATTCGGTATGGCGATCGGTGTCGCGACGACAATGTCTCTTTGAATTCGACCAGGGTGCGCCGGGTCGAATTGAGAAATGGCAACGGAATCGTTGCGCGTCGAAGGGCGCGAAGACTGAACTTGGCTTTCCGCCCCCCCCCCCCCCATCGCCCCTTCTCCCCTTATCGTACAGCTCCAGAACAGCTATTTTAAACGGATTCTATTTGAGACCCGGCGATGCTAACCGAACGCTTTGCCAAATGCGTTCTCGACGCCCCTCGAGCAACCGACAGACATTATTTCTATAACATTAAATGTCGATGAAACAGCGGCACATCCTCGTGATATCGTTATGAGTCAATGGACCCCCCGGTGAAACTCCTCCTCCCTGTGCTACGTGCGTGGCAGCGTGCTGAAGAGTAAATATGCTTGATGTCGGAATTAAGGTGAAGAATGACGGTTCGGGAGATTTTTATGCAGACACACACACACACACATACACACAGAGAGTGTACGGAATCTTGAGTCTAGGTACGATCGCCGGATCCCCCTCTCGATTGAAACAAACGATTAACCAACTGTTTTCGATGCTCGCTATGCCTGTCGAGCACAGGTACGGTAGGAGCAAGAAGGGTCGTCGAAACGTGGACGATCCGCGATCGTATCTAAAGAGAAGCGCGTCTCTGCGAATTATTACCTTTTACCTTGACTGTGGTAGAGGGACGGCGGTAATAAAACAGCAATGATGCCGATGGACGGGACAGCAGTCGTGTATCTGGGTATATCCCTTTCCCCTCGCCGCGCATCCGACCGACACTGTTCTCGTTTAACATTAGAAACAGGTACAATCAAACGTACTAACGCCTAGACGGACGCAGGTGGCGGGGAAGGAGCATCGTATGCATCTGGGCGCGCAATGTGTCATCCACTACTTTGTACTCTTTCGTCCGCTGGCAAATATAACTTCTTGGCGGCTGCGTGGGGTTCTCACGGAGCCGAGAATTAAATCATGTTATGCAATACGTACTTCCGACATTCCCGAGACAGTGGCGCTTATCAATCGTTCATCCATGGTACGCTGGTATTAATCTGTCATGCTACACGCTAACGCTACACAGTTTTAGGAAAATTTCAAGTTGACGTCGGTTACTTTCGGTTCACCAGAGTTCGTGTTAATAGACGCGGATCTCGGGACTCGAGGTTAACGCTTGTTCGTTAACACTTTATTTACCGGGAGCCTATTTATAGGCTTTTTAATTCCAGTATTTAGATTTTCGAATTTATTTACTATGTTGATGATTGTCTACTTACAATGTTCAGTTTTTGGAGAAAGACTTGGCTCTAGATGTACCTAGTAACAGTGTGGAGGAATTATTGCTAGCCTAGATTCGTATATGGTACTGTAGAAGATTCTTTTTTGAATTGAAGACTGTTTCTAAATAGCCCAGTAGATAAAGTGTTAATACTGGAACGCACCGCTAAAACGAAACTTGATTGCGACAGCGTAAAGGATACACAGGGTGCATTTTAGGTAATCGTCCTCGACGAGTACTCAGCCGGCTGACAATGCGTTACGTGAACGCGGGTGAACACAGAAACGGCCAACCGAGTTCAACGAGGGAAGCATCGATAACTCTGAGCCTAGGAGGATCAGAGGTTCAAACGCAAGCAACAAACGACCACCAACATCGATTGGAAAGAGCTACGTATCGCGGAAAACGATGCACCGCTCCCTCCCCGGGGTTTGCGTATGCGCAGATTCTCTCAGCCACAAGAACACAACCTTCGCTTGTTCGTCCGTTGTTCCGTCCATCCGTCCGTGAACAGAACGAAAGCTACGAGAGAGCGAGAGCGTTCGTCTACCCATGCGGTAGCAAAGGAGGAAAAATAAAATGAATAGTAACTTTCGAGAATCCACTGGCGGGTCAGAGGCACCGCGAATCAACTAACCGTTCAGGTTGACCAATGGAGGACCGAACATGTAGTGACCGGGGTACATGTACGGTTGCGGCACCGGTATCACGTGCGAGACGTGCATCGGTTGTTGCAGCAATACCGGCTCCAGGTACGGTCCCCCGTTCAGCCCGTTCTCCAACGGTTGCTCTTCCACGGCCTGCTCGTCCACGTACTGCTCCTCCAGGTGCTCCTCCATGTGCTCCTCGGTTCGTTCCTCCGCCTGGTGCTCCTCGATCTGATTCTCCGTCGCAGATTCAGCTTCCGTCGGTTGCTCCTCCGCTTCGCCTGCCACGCTTCCGTTACAGCTGGCGCTCCCTGTACAGCTTTCGTTGCATGTCCCGCTGGAGTTTTCCACTGGCAACAGCGTGGTCTCCTGCTCCGTCACCAGAGTCGAGTCTTCCGTGCTTTGGCCAGTCTACAATCGGGCCGAAGAAAGTTTTATCGTTAGTCGAGAAAGTTATGAAGTTAGTCGGGATGTTATAGGATTAAGAAACGTACGGGACATACCTGGTAGTCCATCATGCAGTACTGTTGCTCGGCTAGTTTAGGTACAAAGGCAGGGTTGATCCATTCGATCGGCCTCAAAGGTACAGGATCGCAAGGTACGGCCGCTAGGATGCTCGGTCCAACCTGCGCAGGCACTGGCGCAGGGCCTACCAACATCACAGGGTACTCGTAATAGTAGCCACTGGCGTGGTCGTAAAATGTTCCGTAGCCCAAGTGCGCTCCAGATTTCATCATCGGTGGGTATTCGCCGGCGCTGCAGTCCCTGTCCAACAGCTGCTGATCCTCCGTAGTTTCGCTGCCATCTGAATTATCAGGACAAGGGGAAATGTATCAGAGTCTACACGGGGTGGCTTCGCAGGTGTTATTGACATATGACAGTGAGGAATAAAGTAATGTCTCATTAGACGTAGGAGCTCGGGACTGACCCTGTACGACTAATGGTACGATAAGTTGTACAACCCTATCGTACGATGAGTTGTATAACCGATTCGACGGACCCTCTTCGACCGTACGAATGGAATTCCATTGTCTGTGGCGGTTGGTCGTATGATCTGTCGTACGACACGTTGTACAACCCTATCGTACGATGAGTTGTACAACTAACCGATTCGACAGACCCTTCGACCATATTAATGAAATTCCATTGTCTGTGGCGGTTGGTCGTACGATCTGTCGTACGGCCAACCGCTTCGAGCATAGGAATGGGAGTCGCATTGTCTGTGGCGGTTGGTCGTACGATCCGTTGTAGAACGTTGTACAACCCTATCGTACGATAAGCTGTACAACTAACCGATTCGACAGATCCTTCGACCATATGAATGGAATTCCATTGCCTGTAGCGGTTGGTCGTACAATTTTTATCGTATCTAGGTTAACCATGATCGACGTTACTGTATACAGTCGAACGTCTCAGAAATGAGAAGCGAGGAACATGGAGAGGGTTACTCGAGAAATCCAAAGGTTCGATGGTGTAAATGATATCTAGGTAGTCTATAAAATGGGAACTTATAGTACTGTCTCGAAGTAAGCTAAGTCAAACCCAGTGGTGAGCTACCCCTACCTTATTGTTTGATGTTGCCTGCCGAGTGAAAGATCCGAAAAGAAGCGAGAGGTTCGTGAAACCGAGAAGCCGAACAGATTAGTGGAACGAGGACAGAACACGTGCAAATATTCTTTCTTTCTCTGGTGTGTGTATTCTCCGAAACGATACTGTTGTATGTAGTTTCCCGCTTATTAACCCCGTTTTGTCTACTAGTTCCCCCTCGTCTCGAGAACAAAGTCAATCCGACTTATTCGGCCCGAATAGCATACCTCCCTCGCAATAAGCAGCTCACCGGTCCCGACCAAGTTGCTTATCTCGAGACAATACCGTACTCTATACTGGTTCCATCCCAAATGGAACTTGGTATCGTTCAAGACTCTCGGGAGGCGTCGTGGCCAAGGGCGACAAGAAAAACGGACAGAAAAAGAACAGAAATTCGATGAAATGCATTACGCTTCTACCTATACCTCTACCTGCGGTGGAGTGCGAAGCGGATTGGCTCTCGGTGGTGGACGGGGTCGCGCTGGTGCTGGCGTTGCTCGTCCACGGTTTCTTGCGCGATAGATAGCCCTTCTTGAACAGCATGTCCTGTCGAGGCGTCGTGATCCTCGTGTACTCCTCCTCGTTGAAGATGATCTTGGGTTGGGACGGCGAGCCGGACGAGTCGTCCTTGTGGGACCTGGTCCCACCGCTCGCATAACTGCTGCCGCCGCCGCTAGATGACCTCCACGTCTTGTAACCGCTCTGTCCATGGCGATCGAAGCTACGGGAGCTAGTGTCATTTTCCTGGCCTTTCATGTATCCGTTTCGCAATCCCTCTTCCTCGTCCTCCTCGCTGGGCGGAGCTGTTAACAAAGATAACGCGACGCGTCAAATTCAAAATCAACGCCAACATGGCGGTACTCGTGTCCGACTCGAGTTACCGGGGATTTCGTGTCACGCGAGTCGCGCCTGGTTATAGTATAAGCCTGTATAAGCTAATTCTTCACGCGTCAAAGCGTTAGGAACGCATCTACGGTGAACGCGACCCATGGCACACGGCGCGGTAAGCGCTCGAGTTCTTCGAGTTCTAAAGAAATTCGAGTAACAATACTTCGAGTTCTAAAGAAATTAAACTCAACAAATATTATTTGTGGTCGATTTACTGCGTCACATTCAACGGTCAACGAGTCATCTCTCGAGTGCAAAGTGTTAAGAGATAACGATACACCATCGGACACGTAACATGCTGAGTACCGATGGTGTACCAACGACAAAAATGTATTTGCTACAGTGAGAATGTGATAAATGCGGTGATTATGTATAATTCCTACTAAAGTTGGTGTACGTGATCAATTCTGGAATATTTATCAAATTCATCGGTGATTTTATATAATCCTCATTTCGCAATAGGGAATGTGATTAAATTGTTAATGCATGTGCTGTCTACACGGAAATACTGTCTGAGTAAGTTTGGGGTAGTTTTTAGTAGGTCCGGCGATATTGAATACTGTTAATGTACATACTGTCTGAGTAAGTTTGGGGTAGTTTTTAGTAGGTCCGGCGATATTGAATATTGTTAATCTACATACTGTCTGAGTAAGTTTGGGGTAGTTTTTAGTAGTTCCGGCGATATTGAATATTGTTAATCTACATACTGTCTGAGTAAGTTTGAGGTAGTTTTTAGTAGGTCCGGCGATATTGTTAATGTACATACTGTCTGATTATGTTTGGTATAGTTTTTGATGGGATGATAATATTGAATACTGTTAATGCATATACTGTATACACGGAGATACTGTCTGAGTAGGGTTAGACGTAGATTTTTATTAGGACACTATCACGCGAGAGGCTGCGAATATTTTATAATTTGCAACTAACAATTCAATTAATGGTTATTTTAAGTCACATGGATGTACCGCGAATATTTATTCTAATCGTCCATTTCTAACATTCGTGCATGAATTTGTTGATTTAGGCAAATATGTATTTCGCCATCAAAGGGTGTGGGGTGTAACGGTTGGAATAACATTTAGACGGTCCCGTGTTAAGTGTCTGACTGTAAAGACGTTAAATTGAAATTTTCAAAATTGTTGAAAACTTTCCAAATTTCCAAATTTCAAAAGTGCGTCGGATCAAAAATCTAAGTGCGTCAAGCTGTCTAAACGGGGGATGTAACCCTAATAGACAGCTCGCATCAGTGAAAAAGTGGCTAGAAATGCCATTTTTAAACTCCTTTTTCCATCGAAGTATGGTTTTGTGACGGTTTTCAAATTTCAAGAGTACATTAGTTCTCTACAACGAGTAAGGGATTATATAAATGTGAATCTGATAAATATTCCAGAATTTATCACATTCACCAACTTTAACGGTGACTATGCATAAACCCTATGCATAATAGTTTATCACATTCACCGTAACATATCTAAAACTGAAAAAGCAGGGTGCACAGACCTAATCCAAAAAGTGTCGAGCTTCCTAACAACGGAAAACTAAGCCGACAACTACTCCCAAGGTGTGTCTAGCAAGCTTGCATCTAATTCGATCACATTAACCCATTAGCAGCCAATGTTTCGATTTCCCAACGCGAATACTTTTCTCGAAGCAATTTTCACCGACTCGTTAGCGCAACGTACAGGGTGTGTACGCAACGCGTGTTCCCTCCTCTGACTGGTCATGGGTTAAACGAAACACGCTATCTCTATCTAAAACGAAAAAATAAAAAAAAGGAAAAGGTAAGATGGAGTCTAGAACTCCCAGGCGAGTAACCAAAAAGCGAAAAGCTCTTCGTTGAGATCCATGATCAGCCTCTTCGTCAAGGTTCCGTACCGTCTTGGTACCTCGCTAATAGTAGAACGTGATTGGAGGAGCCGATCACGTGGGTGACCCTTCGATGTCGACGCCACTGCATCTCTCCCCCTCAGCGACCTCTAAGTCACACTGTCGTCGCCAACGCAACCTCGGAGTCTTCTTTCGCTTCCCCGAAACGCGATAAGGACGACTTCTGGACCACGCTCTTGCACCCTCTTTCACTCGGAACACTCCTCTATCCTTGTCCTCTTTGCGAAACCGAGAAATCTCTCTCTCTCTCTCTCTCCCTCTCCCTCTCCCTCTCTCTCCTCGACACTTTCGGGGCAACCGGTCTGCGGCGGTAGTTTCTCGCGATCCTCGGCTCCTTTCTCCCGCTGTTATCGGTATATCAGGATAAACGCAACGCGGCTGATAACCAGTCGGATAAAAGGAGGATGTGGTCGGATAATCTAGCGCACGCGATGCCTCGAGAACGACTGCGGTTGACACGAGGAAGGGGGCGCAGAGGGGCCTTTCGTGGAGAGGAACGTTCACTGGCGGACGTAGCCCATTGGCCGGCGTTCGCGGACTAGAATAGCATCAGAATTAGAATAGAAAACGAACGAGGACCAGTGGCCACCGCTGCTGCTAGCCGAGGATGAGCTTTGGCGCGTTGAATGACTCGTTCAATAGGGCGGTTAGTTAACGTGACCGCTTAAATGAACGTAATTTTTATAATTACTCGGGGCTTTCGCCCCCTCTTTTCCGGGGAGGGCCGAGTTGGATGAACTCGTGTTTTAGGAATTATCATAAGATACCCGGATTTTAGCTGCGCATAGTTGGAAAGCACCGAATTTCATATTATGTTACACAGTGTCACCTTGCACTTTACTGGAAAGGATCTTCATGTACTGGCTGCTCATTTCGATTTCACATCTTTTTCTACTCTCTTGAATTTTTTTACGGACATCTTCTATTTTTCTATGATTACTCTTTAAGTCCTCCACTTTTTCATGTACTTGGTGTACATTTTTTACTTTTTTGAAGTTTTTTATGGGAATCATAAGATACCCGGACGACAACGAACTTGGACTACGGTTCGTTCACTATCTATGACTACGGTTGTCTTTTAAGTTTTACTAGTCGCGGTTTCAAATACACCTGGTTGATTCGGTGTGATTATGTTTGACGTGTACAAGGGAGTAGGTCTTAACTTTGAAGAAACGAGAGCTTCCTTTCGTTCAAGTATCCCTCTGGGAGGTGGTTGACCCTTTTAACTTATTTCTTAACCGAATTTCAAGCGCTCGAGAGTTGTTTAAATAACCTTACAAGTTCCCGAACTTTGTAATTTATTTTTTCATTCGAATTCGTATTTATTCGATATACAGTCAATCCCATAAGTTTCGTACACTCTGTATCTGTTAAAGAATTTTTACATGATATGCTTCATGTTTCCAAATCAATTTTCCATTATAAATATGTACATGAACAAACTGCCAAATCTGACAATTTACAAAATTTTTGTTTTCGATTTTCTTAAATTTTTGGTATTTTTTAATACCCCTCAAAAGAATCGTCCTGGTAAATTTTAAGATTTTTGTTATCATTGGTTGCAAAAATATCAAATTTTCAAAAAAAAAAAAGCTCTTTTTTTAGCTTTTTGCTCATTAAATTTCTTTTTCTCAAAATTTTCGATTTTAGATGACCATTACAGACAACGATACAACAAAAATGTTTAAAGTGTTTTTAATCGAGGTTTTTGAAATATAAATTTTCAATCGTGTTGTAACAACTGTTTGTATCCTCCGATTTTCTATTTTAAACTTCTATCCATCCTGCAACTTTTAAGCCCGATTCGGTAGTGGACCTTCCGTAATTAATATTTTATATTTTGTTTCGATTTGTAAAAATTAAAAAAATTCTGTTTCGCTATAATTGATCATCAGTACCGATTTTTGGCACAGTATACTTCTTTTTTACTTATTATAAATTGATTTTAATATTTTTTAATAAAATAAATATATGAATACCGACTGTATTTACAATTACGAATTCATTTGGAAACACGAAGCATTCGTTTAAAATTCGATAAATTTCTTCAATAAATATAGAGGGTACGAATACTAATGAGACTGTAAATCAGGTTAATGAGTGATTCAACGAAACGAGTGGAAAATTATTCGAATTATTTCGTTTCGCGTTCGAAATTTCTATAGAGATAAGCATATTGTTCATCTCTGTTTCCGACTACAGTGCACGCAAACCAGGCTGTGCCAGTTTTAATCAGATTTGAGGGTTCAACGTACCGGGGTAGTATTTTAAGTAGCAAATAGAAAGCGCTTCGAATACTTCGCGTCATCCAGTTACACGTGGAGTGTCGAAGACTTTTATGCGGGTCTGCACCGCTCGATAATTCTCGTAAATGAAAATTAATATTTCGATATACATAAAAACCGAGATTAAAACGCTACGAATAGAGGTTACAAAGAAGTCTCGTATCGACATTCAAATTCTACAATAAAATTTTACAATGAGGAATTATTTACTCACAAATGCTGTTACATATTATATAGTTTTCATAAGATGATTCTGTAAAAATTTAATCAAAATCGGTGCCTTTTAATTGGGCAATTTTCGTAGAGCGCGGGCCGAACCTGCCCTGCGTCGGCCCTGCTTGAAGACAAATGAAGACCTACGGGGAAAAACTCATTATGTCCAATTTTCACCGAAATTAAAGCACGCGTGCCATCTAGCAGAAAAAGAGTATGTATACCTCTTGAGGGGTCCAGGAGTTCGATCGCAGAGTTTCGTATATTTTTCGATATTTGCCGAACTTCAATGTTACGAACTCTACGATAAAGGCACAAGGTCAGTCCGGAGCTTGTGCACTGAACGAGACATTACTGTAGGTACATATTTTTGCCGAGTTTCGTATATTCTTCAATATTTGCCGAACTTCAATGTTACGAACTCTACGATAAATGCACAAGGTCAGTCCCGAGCTTGTACGTTGAACGAGACGTTACTGTAGGTACATATTTTTGTCGAGTTTCATATATTCTTCGATATTTGCCGAACTTCAATGTTACGAACTCTACGATAAATGCACAAGGTCAGTCCGGAGCTTGTTTGCCGAACGAGACATTACTGTACATATTTTTGCCGAATTTTGTAACCGCTATTAATGTCCCTAGGAGTTACGTAAACTACAATCACGATTTTCTCCATTTTTCAATTTTTGTTGGACATAACGATTCCCCCTTGGTCTTTGAACGAAAAATAACTCGGATGCCAACGTGTATCCCATATCCCAAGTATTTTTGTAAGACTGACGAACGACAGATACGCCAGACTACCGTCGGCGATGAAACGCGACCGATATCGTCGACCGAATCTCGGCTTTGGAAACGATTACATCGTCTAAAACGTCTGACCGCAACAAAGCGCGGTGATACTCCTGGGAACAATGTGTCACACAGTAATAATAATAAGAAGAGAGACCTGTGAATTTACCAGTGCGACGACTATCAACTCGGCTGCCAAATAGGTTGTACCGCGCTTCGTTATTGAGTTAGATAAAACACGACACCTTTTATCGCTTCCTCGAGGGATGGAGACATAAGACATAAGACTATAAGAGGGAGACCATGTAACCCTAGAACGCTACCGGAATCCGAACGTGTATGAGAAAATGTGTATGAGGAATGATTATCGACGCCCGAACGCTCTTTTCTCGTTAAAAATGAACCCTGTTTGAAACGCAGGGTTTAGAAATATTTCTAGTTTCTTGGTGGTCGTTCGAAAACTAGCGAAAACACGATCGCGGATCGAAAATTCTGTAGCCGATGTAACGGCGAACGCGGAAAGGTCACGAACGAGAGGCGATGCTTCAACGCGTAGCAATTATGGCACCGCCACTAAATGACACTAATTCCTTCTCACCGCACTGGCTCGCCGCGATCTTTAATCAGTGACGTACACACGGAGGGAAATCGTTGGCGCGCGTTGTTTCTGTTTCTCTTTAGCAACTAACGCGAACGTCGTTGTTCGAACAGGAACTGATCGAAGTTTTGGCGCGTGTGAAAATTATAGCCAAGATGGACATCGAGTATTTATTAACATACTTCGAAAAAGGAGGAGGTTACTCAATTACACGTGTATAGATATATATACTGCACACATATTGAATACAACATATATATAATATAAATTACATTTTATATTATATATATTATATAATTATATAAATGTAAATTAAAATCAAAAAATTTTACTTTCGGCTTGAGTTAACTTTTGGTGGTGGCGGCAATATTGGATGCTGTTATTGTATGTATGTGTACTGTCTACGTGCAAATACTGTCTGAGTAGGTTTGAGGTAGTTTTCGGTGAGGCCGTCTGCATTGAATAACGTTAATGTACATACTGTCTGAGTAGGTTTGGTGGAATACTGTTAATGTGCATACAGTCTGCACGGAAATACTGTCTGAGTAGGTTTGGGGTAGATTTTGGTGAAGGCCAACAGTATTGAATATCATTAATAGACATACTGTCTGAGTAGCTTTGGGACAGTTTTTGGTGGGACAACAATATTGAATACCGTTAATGTACATACTGTCTGAGTAGGTTTGACATAGTATTTGATGGAAGTGACAATATTGAATACTGTTAATGTATATAATGTCTAAAGCGGATGTAATGATAGCAATAATGAAACATGATACTTTTTGTTCCTCCTGCAGAGAGTTGAACCAAGTCTGGTAATGTTTAATATAAGTAATTTTAAATTTAGCGCCTTCTCCGAAAAAGTTGCATTGCATTTAATATGCTGTACTTAATAATTTAACCAAATTCATCAAGAGCTTGCGAATAACAATGGAGTTTCAATAGAAATTGATTTCACACCCTTTAGTGCAGTTTTAATATTTTTCCAAGTCGTTTATATTTTTTTTCCAGAAATTATTTTATTTCAGAACAAACAAAACGTAACGGTAAGACGAGAACAACATCGCCGAGTAAACGCAAGAAAAATTGCATTATCTCGGACCATTTTTGATCCCTGAAAAACTTTGAATAGCGTCGCAGAAGTAACTCGGAATTCTCATAAATTTTTTACGCGTCTCGCGAAGCACTATAGGAAAAAAAAAGTGGCTGTAAACTTGGTAGTCTATAACCGTGTCGTAACTACTTCCCAGTGTAAGATACACGCCAAGAAAAATCGCTGAAAAATATCTTCCGACGAGATGCAAAAATTAAAAAAAGTAACGAACCGAGGGAAATTAGTTTATGTTAACCTTTTGCGCTCGAGGCATTGTTTTATAGAATCAAATCCAATCCATTGTTATAATAAATTTCTGTAAAACCAAAAAAAATTCTATTTACAAAAGAAACATCTACGAACATTCGTGACTCAACGAATTATTGTTACAATTTATTAAAATTGTAGGTTCAAAAAGTCACTTTTAAATTACATATGTCGCCCTAGAGGCGCCACTCGAGCGCAAAGGGTTAAATTAAAATTCGATCGAGGCAACGATTTTTCGAAAACTGGTGGAACGAGATGTTTACTCGGCGTGGTACCTGCTCGACCATGCTATTTTTCGGAATGCTATTGATAGGAGTATGTTTGTTCGAATACGCGGGAAGGGGGTACGCGGCAAAATGGGTCAACTATCGGATGGACAGATGGACCGACTACCGTGCAAATGAAGTTGCAAAAGAGAGCGATGATGCGGAGATCGATGAGCCAAATGTCGAAAGCCTAAAAGGCTGCCAGAAATTGTTAAGCGAGATGAATCGCGCAAACAAAGTCTAGGTACCATCGCACGGTTACGTTCCGTCGAGTGCAACGATATACCGGGTGACCGTTAACGAGCGTAAATGCAGTCGACTCGAGCAAGCTCGATTATCGCCTAATGGAAGTAACCGTACACCGAAGTAGCGATAATGTTTTTCTTGACCAAAGGTGCTAGGAAGATAATAGAGGTCACCCTTTCCACATTTAAGTGGACTCTTTTCGATAACAGCCTTTGGAACGAGCCACGTTACAAAATCAGTGAAATATATCTCGAGCAGGAAGATTAACCGTTGCGCAAGATTTTCGAAACCGCCGAATCGGTCACCAGTGAACTCTGTTCGATCTTACAAATTTTTCTTTTGAAGAAACATTCCGTAGGATAAAAATTTCCTTGGCGGTCTTTAACGCACGGTTATTAATCGAGCACCCCATGGAACATGGGGCTATGGAACCATAGTCGGAAATTTCACAGAAATTTCACGGAAATCACACGTGAATATTAACGGTTAACCCCTTCGAACCGGGTCATCTTTGCTCGCGACACAGCTGACACGGAATCCACGCGCGTTCTAGATTCCCATACATCCTACGTTCGAGTTACAGCCGCGTGTG